GAGTTAGACCTGTCTCTTATACACATCTAGATGTGTATAAGAGACAGGTCTGGGTGTCCGCAGTTTCTGACGAGCTCAGTGTAAGAGTATGAGTAATTGAGTATCAATTGTCACTTCGGTGGAAGGTGTAAGGTGGTAAATTTTTCGATACATTTTCTTTTGTTAACATGATAATATATTACCTATACAGAATTCCATACTGCTGAGTGAAAATGCTTAACACAAGTTATCCCAGTCCCGGTGTACCTAGTAAAATAACAAAAAAGTGAACGTGCATCATGAAGTCATGACTCATGAATGCGTCTGAAAGTGAGTAGGGCAAAAAATTGGTTTGCCACCATCATAGGGTAAACGCGGTATATTCCGACATCGTAGGTAATTCCGTCACCTCTCTAGTTTTTCCTTTATATTAAGCTTTGTTGTAGTTCCATGACCATAGTGGCAAACCAGAGATTTTTTAGAATCAGTTAATTTTTAATTTCCTTATTTACTCAAGATTGAAACCAATTTCTTATGTATTATAATGCTGGTATCCATGATACTTAGCTTTGTATATGTCTCATTGCTGTAGCTTGAAAACTGTAGGAGGAGATAGATTTGCCATGAGAGCAGTATGAGGTTTTCAGTACGGCCAAAAGACTGCCCTCGCGGCACTTAAATAGACATAAAAGAGTCGCAACGCAGCCAAGATACCGTAACTTAGCCTTAAACCAAGTCAGGAAGGCATGGAGTAACTGGCTGCACACCTTTCAGCAACACTACCCTACCCAGTGACCGACTAAAGCGACAGCGACTGGCGGAAGTGCGATTTGTCCCAATAATCGAAGTGCTGCTAAGCTGTGGCCGCGGGAGCTCTCTCATTCCCATCTTAAATTTTCGTGGCGAATATATAACTAACGATTGAGACGCGAGTCACTAAAGGCCCGTTTCCACTACGGGACTGATTCTGAAGGATTGAGATTGGCCTGAGACCAATAAGCCACATGGCTGGACTTGAAAACTGGCGTGCGCGTTTCCACTACGTGCGTGTACTGGGACTGGGACTGACCGTCTGGACTACCGCACTCGCTGGCCTTTGAAGATAGATTATGCTGCCGCTCTGCCGGTGTGTTCACCACCACAGTTGCAGCAATGAGGGGCACCTTGTGTTTTGCAATCTTTAATGCTGTGGGCACCACCACACTTGACACAGCGAGGGGAACTCCTACAGCTTATGGCACTGTGGCCAAATCTCTGGCATTTGAAGCACTGCCAGGGTTTTGCTATGTATGGATCTACTGAAAAGGATCACGTCGCTGTCATGATGGGCACTGAGAGGTTTGGCTTCAGCTTGCAGTTTTAGTAGTCACGCCCCGTAATTATTGCCTTAGGAATTACTATAGGCCGCCCCCACCCCTCCCCCCCCGTTCTATGGCTGTCTCTTATACACATCTAGATGTGTATAAGAGACAGTCTAACAGGCATGCACAAGCAAGTCGATCCGTCATCGCAACAGGGAGAGAGGTCACCAATTTAAGAGTTGAACACCAGTCTTCCGTCGTCGCTTTCTCAGCCGTAGAGGAAATGCAGCCTCTGTAACGAGCGATAATGTCACGAATTTCGTTGGTGGAATCCGGGAATTGAGAGAAGTGCTAAAATCGTGGAATAAAGTTAATCTTGAAATATGGTTGCTTCGACGAAACAATTCATGGAAATTTAATCCGCCTTACGCAAGCGGGTCCGCCTTAGGTCATGGAGGCCTAATGGGAAGGGCTGATTCGAGGCGTTCGAAAAATTTCAACTTCTCTGCTACTCGAGCAACCCTTTGAAGTTAACAAATGAAAGCCTGAATACTCTCTTCTTCGAAGTCGGAAGTATATTGGATAGCTGACCCCTCACCCCGTTATCAGATGACCAGAATGACTGTGATACTCATTCTCCAACCCACCTGCTCCTGAACACGACCCCATCATTGCCTCCAAGCGTGTTTCAGCCGTCGGCCATCTACCTTATAACGTCGCTGGCGTCAGACGCAACATCTCGCAGAAACCTTTGGACTAGTTTTGACGCGNTATACACATTGAGATGTGTATAAGAGACAGTCCTTAATGTGTCGGAATATACCACGTCAGGATGGAATTCTAATATTGACTGTTCATATATTATTCCCGATACACCTACACCAGTTTTTCGATACAACATTATTTCAGGCAAAAAAATGAACTTCTTATAGGCTTAAAACACGTACGGGTATGCTAAGTTTCTATAAAGTAGGCTAACTCACTTGGAAATGTTGCGTGCCAGCAAGGCTGCAGACGCAGCTTTCACTCAACAATTAAAATTATACAAATTATAAGTTCGTTAAAGATTTCTCTCTTAATATCACTGCAAAGAAGTAAACTTAATACAGTAATTACAGCTATCGTGACTACGCTGTCAAGCATACTTTTTGATGATGCATACACTAAACACGCAATTCATGGGAGCGAGAATACACAGAACAAAAGCAGTCGCCCGGCATGCAACTGCAAAAACAAATGACGATCGCGGCAGCTGCGGCACGGATCATAACCTTAATATAGTCAATGCAAGAGAATGATTAATTATGATATTTCTGTTAGAGATTTGAAATATTTTCGGAAGCCTAAAACTATAACAAATTATTTCGTTACTTTGACATGGTTGATTTCAAAATAAATATTTTAATACGAATTCATGAAAAACGTTTAAAATAAATTTAATAATGTTCATTTATATCTATAGGTGGGAGTAATTCGAGTAAATAACTACGAATCGATTTATTAACACGTTTTTCTTAGCTTAGCTTCGCGTTTGTTTGTTTGTTTGTTTGTTTGTTTGTTTGTTGTTATTAACACGTTTTTCTTAGCTTAGCTTCGCGTTTGTTTGTTTGTTTGTTTGTTTGTTTGTTGTTAACATTGACAACGAAAATTAGCCCACTTCTGATTGTTCTAGAGATCTGAAATTCGGCATGCAGGCTATTTTCGCCTAACAATTTCAGATACACTCATAAAAACTAGAAATTAGAGACCGAAATTAGTTTAATTGAGTAAAGTATATATATAGTATATGTATATAGTATGACGTGCGGGCGCTCACGTTATAGACGAGCAGGCGCTGACGCTGCGTATCATCGATACGTACGTCAAGTCATACTTGATCAAGTCTTATTTAATCGTTTTTATTTGTGGACTAAAAAGTAGAAAATAAAATACTTAAAAAAAACTTTTTAAAAACACGTTTTTCTTGTGGACTAAAAAGTAGAAAATAAATTATGGCTCGCCCCAAAAAACGTGTGTCGGGCAGATTTATGATTAAAGC